TACCAACAGTGGGTGAGTTCCCCATTTTCTGTAAGCTCTCCAGCATGTCATTTTTGTCTTTTTAATAATAACCATTTTAACTCAGGTCTGATGATACCCATTGCGGTTTTGATTTGTATTTTTCTAATGATTAGTGATGTTGAATATTTTTCATACACTTACATATCTTCTTTTGAGAAGTGTGTCTTCATACAATTTGCCAGTTTTCAACTGGATTATTTGGGTTGTTTGCTGTTGAGTTCCCTATAGATTCTGGGTATCGACCAGCTTCCAGCTGGGTATTTGTAGAAATATTCTCCCACTTTGTAGGTTGTCTCTTGACTCTGTTTATTGTTTCTTTTGCTGTGTAGAGGCTACTTAGTTTGGTATAATCCTATTTGGCTCATTAGTCCAGCGATTGTGGAAAACAGTGTAGAGGTTCCTAAAATTATTTAAAGTAGAATTACAACACTATCTAGCAATCCCACTTTGTGTGTGTGGAGGGGTGGTGGTGGTGGTGGTGGTAGTGAGGCTTAAAGTACCTTGAGCCACTCCACCAGCCCTTTCTTTGTGATGGGTTTTTTTGAGATAGGGTCTCAAGAACTTTGGGCTGACTTTGAACCGCAGTCCTTCTGATCTCTGCCTCCTGAGTAGCAAGGTTTCCAAGCCACTGGCACCCAGCCAGAAATTCCACTGTTTTATATATACCCAAAGAAAATCTAATCATTGTATCAGAGAGATAAATGTATGCCCATGTTTATTGCAGCACCATTCACACTAGTCAAGACATGGAATCAGTCTTGACTATCAGTCCAGTGCCAGACAAATACATGTAAAACAGTCACGTGTACAGTAGAATATTATTCAGCATAAAAGCTGGATGAAATCCTGTTATTTGCAGCAATATGGTTAGAACTGGAGGACACTATGTTAAGTAAAGTAAACAGACACAGAAAGACAAATACCACATTTTGTTGGAATATTTAAAAAAAAAAAAAAAAGCTGATCACACTGGACACATTGGCTCACATCTGTAATCCCAGCTATGCCAGAGGCTATAGGTAGGATTATTATGGCACCAGGCAAAATCAAGATACCCTACCTGAAAAATAGCTGAAGCAATAAAGGCTGGAGCAGTGAGTGGTTCAGGTGGTAGAGCAGCTGCCTGCCAGGTGTGAATAAAAAAATTGGTCACATAGAAGTGGAAGAATAGTGGTCACTAGAGGGTAGGAATGACATGGGTATAGTGAAAAGAGTGGGTAATGGAACCAAAACACAGTTGTACCAGGGTAGAGTAGTTCTAATGTTACATAGCACAGTAGAGCAACTGTTAATTATATATTTCAAAATAACCAGAGTTTGAAGAATCCCAACACATAGAAATGACAGTGTTTGAGGAGATAGAAAGTCTAATTACCATGATTTGATTATTACACATTGTATACATATATGGAATTATAGCACCGTACCTGACAAACATATACAGATGCCATATATATTTATTGATGAACAGTAATAATAAAAGTCTCATAAAAAGAGAAAGCAGTTACTTTCATGAGAAGTTTCTTAGAGGTAGATTGGGAAACCTTTGGTATAAAGTCTGTGTTCATTTTCCTTTCTCTCTCAGCATTTTGCTTTCGCTTGTCATGACCATGTAGTTCTGAAAGCTGCATTTGTTGGTCAGGATCACTTTTTCTCACACTACCATACTAACATTATGTTTAGTAACCCTGCTGTTACCCCACTGGCCACTGGGTGGGAAAACTGCTTCATTGTTAGGAGTAATTGAATGTTAAAGTTAACACCTTCCTCTCTTACTCTCATTTGGAAAAATGGTGTTTTTTTTTTTTAGAAAAACAACACATTAGGTCTTAGGGCATATTGAATCACTAGCCATTAACTTAATGGATATACTAAAACTTCTGTGTTATAAAAATCTACCTTTTTAGTGCTGTTTTCAAAGTATGGAGTTGAATATACTTTCAGAGTAGAAAGGGAAATTAGAGTTTTCCTGAGAGCAAATTGTACTTGTGACAGAGACACTGGGAACAGAGAGCCTGTAAGCCAAAGAGTCTGGGCAAAATCTCATGGCAAGAGCTGGAGAGGGAGTTTATAGAATCTGTATTTTAGGATTTTGTTTGTTTGGATTTTGAGACAGAGTCTTACTCTGTAACCCTGTCTGGGCATAAACTGAGGATCCTCCTTCAGCCTCCTAAGTGCTGGGGTTACATCAATATGACTGGCACTATGTGTGAGTTTTTATGAAATCTGAGTCTGCCCCCAGCTACACATGCACACAACAGACCATGAAGGATAGGCTGTGATAAAATCCAGATTCCAGTATAACTGTTTTAGTTATATACATAAACTGTTCATATATATACAGATAAAACTGTTACTTTCGTGTGTGTGTAATTTGTGATAAAGTTCAAAATGATTACTGATGTAAAGAGTCAGGAAATGATAACCAAAAGGTTTTGCCACAAAGTGACATAGATATTGGAGTTATTAGACAAAGACCCACAAGCAATGTATAATCATGTCCATGGGATAAAGGTGAACTATTTTCTAACTGGATGGAAATTTTGCAATGATAAGATTATTTAAAATTTCAAATTCAGTAGATGGACCCAGTAGCATAGCAAGGGATAACAATGTAGAAGGCATTGAACTTGATGATAGAATCTGAAAACATGGTACAAACTGAAGAGTCTCAGAGACCCTGTCCCTGACAGGTACAGAAGGAACAAAGAAATAGAATGGCTTAGAAAAAAAATGGAAGAAATATTTCAAAACCTTATAAGGTGAAATACATAAACTTAGAGATTCAATAAGTTTGGCAAATATTAAACAAGGTCATCACAAAGAACCAGAAACACAAAACACCCTGTACCATGATATAGCTACATCTAGGCATATGAGTACTCATATTAAATATAATTGTTTAAATAGATAAGCTGACCGATTGGATATACTTAAAAAAAAAAACAGCCAGTTGCTTATACCTAAGTGAAATATGTCATAGATGGCTTAAAAGTAAAAGTAAAAGCAATGATAAGCTGGCTTGGCTGTATTCATATTGCACAGAGTGGTCTGAGAACAAGTTGTATTCCCAAGAGTGAAGAAGGATGTTGCATAATGAGAAAAGGTTCATTAATGTATGCACTGTTATAGCAGAGTTCCAAAATATATGAAACAAAACCCAACTTGTAGCTAGTATTTGAAAGTTAGCATATCAAATTTTTTTTTCTTTTTTTTTTTTTTTTTTGTGGTACTACGGTTTGGACTTAGGGCCTCTCTTTGAGTCACTCTACCAGCCCTTTTTTGCAAAGGTTTTTTTTTTTCAAAATAGGGTCTTGGAAACTATTTGCCTGGGCTGGCTTCAAACACTGATCCACCTGATGTCTTTCTCCTGAGTAGCTAGGATTATAGGTGTGAGCCACCTGCATACTTGGCAATTTCATTCTTCTTCATGGTCAATAAATACTCCATTGTGTATATATACTACATATTCTTTATCCATTCATCAGCTCTTGGACACCTAGACTAATTCCATAGTTTGGGTATTGTGAACAGTGCTATGATACATGTGTGTGTAGTTACCTCTATTGCATATTAGCTTACATTCCTTCAGATATATGCCTGTAGTGGCAGAGCAGGATCATATGATAGTTCCATCCTTGTCTTTTTGAGGACTATCCATAACTGATTTCCTTTGATGTGCATGGCTTTTCATTTTTATGAAATCACCTTTGTCAGTTCTTGCTCTTACTTCCTGAGTAGTTGAAGTTCACTTCAGAAAGTCATTGCCTTTCTAACTTTCAGGTATTTTGCCAGTGTTTTTTCCTGTAGTGTTTTCAAAGTTCTAGATCTTATATTAAGATCTTTGATCCATTTTGAATTGATTTTTGTCCAGGGTGAAAGATAGGAAACTAGTTTCAAACTTCTACATGTTGATATACAGATTCCCCAGCACCAGTTATTGAAGAGGCTGTCATTTCTCTAAATTGTATGTTTTTGGCTCCTTTGTCAATAATTAAATAGCTGTAGATATGCAGGCTTATTTCTGTATTCCATTGGTTTACTTGTCTGTTTTTGTGCCATTACCATACCATTTTTGTCATTATGGCCTCAAAGTATAATTTGAAGCCAGACATTGTGATAACCCCAGCATTATTCTTTTCGCTCAACATCACTTTGGCTATTTGAAGCTTTTTATTCTTCTATATGAATCTTAGGATTGATTTTTCTATCTCTGTGAAGAGTGATACCGGGATTTTGATGTGGATTCATTGAATCTATAGATTACTTTCGGTAGTATAGCCATTTTCACTGTATTAGTTCTGCCAGTCTAGGAACATGGGAGGTCTTTCCATCTTCTAGTCTCTTCTTCAGTTTCTTTCTTCAATGTTTTATAATCTGAAATTGATTTTTAATAAGCTGTAGTCCTATCATTCTTTCTTATAATGTAGCCCTACTTCATTTTTTTCAATTTAGTTTTAATTTGATTAAAAAAATATATCCATGTCAAGGCGTGTTAGCACAAAGTCTGTTATTTCCAGCACTCAGAGACTGAGGCAAAAGGATCACAAGTTTTAGAACAGCCTATGCCACATAGTGAGACCCTGTTCAAAACAAACAAGCAAACCCATATATATGTACATCTACACACACACACACACACACACACACATGTATATTCATAGTATTTCATGCTGTAAGTGTAGTCATACTGTGCTGTGTTATTTGGGCTGTTCTTATAGGTGCTATAACTAGATAGTTGTTTAGTTACACATCTTGTTTCCCCCACAGTGTTACAACGTCTTCACTTCCTTGTCTCCTGAAGTGTCTGTAATTATTCTTTGCACATTGCTGTCTCATAAAACGTCTTTCATATTAGTCCATTTACCAGCTGAATGGTTCTTCTTAGCATCTTGGCAGAAACTGCATTGCTGTGGACTTTTTTTTAGGCTGCGCATGTTCTCATTTTGTGATTGTTCCCCTCCTCCTCCTCCTCACAGTTCTGGACATGGCAAGGCATGTGCCACTTTATCGGGCTCTGCTGGAGCTGCTCCGGGCCATTGCCTCTTGTACGTCTATGGTGCCGCTGTTGTTGCCTCTCTCTACAGAGAATGGCGAAGAGGAAGAAGAACAGTCAGAGTGTCAAACTTCTGTTGGTACATTATTGGCTAAAATGAAGACCTGTGTTGATACCTATACCAACCGTTTAAGGTATTGTTCTATATTCATTTCTTTAACTTTGCCTCTAAACAGTATTTTATTTATTTATTTATTTATTTATTTTTCCATATTTTTTTTCTTTTATTATTCATATGTGCATACAAGGCTTGGTTCATTTCTCCCCCCTCAGTATTTTTTTAAAAGCTCAGGTTTTTCTTTTTCAATGATACATAGTATTTCAAACACACACACACACACACACACAGACACATAATGACAAATGTGTGTGCGCGCACACACGCAGAATATAAACATACAAAGAAAAGACAATCTATCTACACTTAGAAACATTTACTCACAATGGCTATAAAATATGGATTTTATAGCTTTAGATAATGTTTTTATTAAATATTATCACGTCTGCTCTATAGACAGATGCTAATTTTATTCAGTATCAATGTCAGATAAACCTTTCATGTCGGTAAATGCTACACATTGCTGAAATTGTTCTTAATGCTGCTACTTCCCCATTGTATACAGGAGTTGTATTTTACATGGCCATGTATTAGTGGGCATTTCAGGGGCTCATAGAAATGTCTTCAGGGTAAAATCTTAGAAGCCAAATTACTGGGTTCTTGGATTGCTCTTGTTTTAATTAGATACATGCTATATTTCATGGTATAATTTTTCTGTGGAGTCAGCAGATTCAGTGTTTAATTGTTGGAGCTGCAATGAAATTAATTGTTTATGGAACAGATGAATTTTTTAAAGTAATTTTGGCTAAAGTTTATGTTAGAAAATTGAGATGATGCATTGTGTTACCAAAAACTCTTTTTGAATACTCTAGAAAATCTTTTCCTGTTGCTTAGCAGAATCTGTTCTGTGGTTGTCAATTCTCCTTTAAGATGGCATAATTCTGACGTTTAAGGTATTTATGCTGCCAGTGCAAGTTTGTTACTTGTCACTGGTCTTTTGAGTCAGTTAATGTTCTTTTTCATATTTGCACTATATTGACTTTACCTGTTCTGTTATTTTTTTTAAAAACTTATAATTTATACAATATAGGTCAAATAATGGAAGAGAGTTTGTCAATGGAAAAATAGTTTCTGTCAATATTTACCTTGAGGGGAAAATCAGCTTGTTGGATCAACCTGTCTTTACTGGCTTAATCCACTGTTTTCACTTTCAAAAGCAATGACTTTGCTGACGTATGGCTCAAATGGTAGAGTGCTTGCTTGCCTAGTAAGTTCAAGGCCCAGAGTTCAAATCTTAGTACTACAGACAAACCAAAGCAAAAAACTAATGACTTACTGCTGACAGTAAGAATCCTAAATTAGACGATTAAGAGAAGGGCCCATTGGTAGAGATATAAAAGCTGTAGGATTAGTTACACGTGGTGGTGCCTGTCTAGTCCCAGCTACTTAGGAAGTTGAGGCACGGAGATCACTTAAATCCAGGACTTCAAGGGCCAGCCTGGGCCTTTGTCTCAAAAAAACAACAAAAAAGTTGGTCTCATTCTTGCCTAAAGACGACGACCTGCTTTCAGTCTATTGAAAGTGTATTTGTTACCCAATAAATGTTACCGTCACTTTTCACTAGTAAACAAAACAAAAGTAACAATAACAACAACAACGACAAAAAACAGTACACTTGTTGGGGATGTAACTCAGTGGTAGAATGATAACCTGGCATGAGGAAGGCCCTGGATTTGTTCCCCAGTACTGAAGTAAAAACAAAAAGCACAACAGCAACAAAAAAGCAAGATACAGATCCATGCTACTCTGTATCTTGAGTAGGGAAATGTAAGTTTGTGTAGAAGAGTATTGTATTTGGTCCCATTCTCTATCATGGCTCCCTAAAAGTCTTTCTGACAGGTAACCTATAAAAGCCAGTTAGGTTATATAAAAATAATGTGCCATAATTGAACTAAACGTCTAATTTTATATTTGAGCTAATGTCTCCTTGAGAAATAATCTGATTGAAAATCCTCTTCTCTTCCCTAGCGATTAGTGTCCCTGACTCCTGTAGCAATAAACGTGTTGCTTTTAACCAGTCAATTTGTACAATGCATATCAAGCTTTGAAGTTCATGTATTTTTTGGAGGAATCTTGCCTTGTATTTCTATACCTTAGATTTCTTTGTTTTGAGATGACTATTTTAACTTATACCTAAACACTGAAATTTGTAAAACCTTGAGTGTTTTTTACCTTTTGATACTTTATTTACTAGATGAAGAATTGCATATTGATTTGAAATATAATTGTAGCCTTGGTCAAAAACAGCAACAAATTTTTAATGTTAAAAATATGATAATAAAACTAGTAAATTAAGAATACCTTTCTTTCAACTGTGTATTTCCTTATGCTATAATTTCTAGTGGATCCTACAGAAATGAATGTATAGTGTATTGAATTGTAGAATAATTAGAGAGTAAGCTTATTGCATTGAATGAAATTTGGACACCTGTCATTCCTCTCTGGTTAACTTTGCTTTTCTTAATCTGTTTCTTGTTTACATAATATCCGCTGTCAATTTTTGAAGGGAATGTTGATTTCTGTACAAAAAAATTTAATTCAATTTAATTTCAGATAGAGAATAACTGAGCTTCATTTCATTGGAGCTCTTTATTTTTCTGCTGATTACCTGGAAAAAATCTGTCTTTAAATTCTTCTTTAACTAGGAAAAAAGTCATACTTCAGAATTATAAAATTATGTACCAACAAAATATGCATGTAAAGAATATAGTAACTCATTTCATTTTTGTTGTTTTATCTCTGTAAAGACTCCATGCAGTGTTTTTAGTAACTTCATTTTATTAATAGAGAAACACTAAGAATATAGGAGGTTTTGTTTTGTTTTGTTTTGTTTTTTTGGTGGGACTAGGGACTCTTAATACTTGAGCCATACTTCAGTTCATTTTGGTGTGGTTTTTCTGGAGATGGGGTCTTGCAAACTATTTGGCCAGGCTGGCCTCAAATTGCAATCCTCCCGAGCTCAGCTAGGATTGCAGATGTAAGCTACTGGCCCCTGGCATATGAATGTGCTTTTAAGACTTGCATATGTTTCTTAGTTGGGATATCTTGTGGTCTTTGTTATATTAAGTGGCATCTGTTGGAAAAAGAATCCGGTAAAGTCTTATGTATTATTTACATCCCTACCTCCTTTCAAAGTTTGGCATGTTGAGAATTCATTTTCAACTTCCCAAAGAGAATAAAATGCATCCTTTTCAGCCTTTCAAGACTTAACATAGCCAGGCATGTAGAAACATGCATGTAATCCCAGCTACTCTGGAGGTGAGGATATGATTATGGTCTGAGGCCAGCCTGAACAAAAGCGTGAGACCTTATCAGAAAAATAAACTAAAAAAGCAAAAGGACTGTGGTATGGCTGAAGCACAGGGGTCTGAGTTCAGTCCCCAGTCAGTACCACCTGGGATGGAGCAGTGGGAGGGGGGGATAGATTTAGGATTCTTCTTTTTTTTTTTTTTCAACCAAACATATGCAAAAGACATGCCTTTCCTCCCTTCCCGCCCCCCAGCCTCTTCAAATGAAAGTTTATTGAATTTAACTCATTGGTTATCTTAGATAAAGAAAAAAAAGTAGGTTCACTATGTATTCTGCAGATCTTTATGATTATTGTGGTTATATGTAATAATTTTCTTTGGAGTTATTTGTTTTGCATGTGTTATAGTTAGAATTTTAATTTTCCTTTTGGGAAAATAAAAATTTAAATGTTTTAGCCTGATACGAAGAAGAAATTTACTGTTTCTGGTGCTAATAATCTAATTAGGATTATCCTGTACTGCTAATTTTTACTTTTGATTCGATAATACAAAGAATGAGGAAGATTCTGTGAGTTAGCCCCCTCCCAAGCCTGAACCCTCTTAAAAGAAGAGATGGGAAGCTAGGCATGGTGTTGCATGCGTGTGACCCCATCTCTTGGGAGGCTCAAATGGTAAAGAACCTGCCTAGCAAGAGAGGCCCTGAGTTCAAATTCCAACACTGCCAAAGGGAAAAACGTGCAAAAGTTTGAGCTCCAGGCTGGTCTACATAGTGAGACCTCTGTGGGGGGGTGGTAGTGACTGTTAGTTAGAAAGGCAAGTAGTAAGAGCATTACTGATTCATTTACTTAACAGATGTTTATTGAATATTTATGAGTGTGTAATAAGAAAAGTGTGTCTTCTTCCTAAGGGGTTGATGTATAAATGGGAGAAGTAATAATAGGCATTTTAAATAATATCATACATAGCTTTTTAGGAAAAGCACAAGATATCACAAGAGAACCAACCCATGTTTATAAACCTGAAAAGTAAGTATAGGGATTAGCTAATTGAAGAGGGCCAGAATATTTGTAACCCAGCCTGTGGCGACAATGTTAGCTGTGGAAAAAGTATCACATATTTAGGGAACCTATGGAAATTTGGTGTTCCCTGGGTCCCTGGGTATAGTGTTACATAGGTGGCAAAATGAGGCTAGAAGATGAAGAAGGGGTTACAGATTCACTTACCCTTTACAATAAAGTGGTGATGATGTGCTTGAGGCATAGCTCAAGCAGTTGAGAGTGCCTGCCTAGGAAGTGTCAAGCCCTGAGTTCAAACCTCAGTGCTTCCCCTTTCTCCCTGCCCTAAATGAAACTCTGATAAGCCACTGAAAGATTTTCAGCAGAAACCTCATCTGATTTGCATTCTAGAAAGGTGATCTTGGAGTTATGTAGTTAAATGATTGAATTGAGAAGTGGAACAAGATTAAGTTGCCATGAAAGATTTTTCACCCTTGTCGCCTCAGCAGATAGAACTGTCTTGTATCCTTCCCCATCCTGCCATTTCTGAGGACTGAGACTTCAGTTCATTAGCCCTCTTGCTCTTATATTAGGACTTAATAAAAACTTAGTTTACAGATAAAAATATATTCCATATTCAGACACTTAACTAAAAAATAATATATTGTAACTCAGAGTTTTTTTTAAGTTGGTAGGGATCTTCAATAGAGTACAAGTGCCATAGAATTTGAGTCTAAAATTCCAGGCAGAAGTTTCCCCAGATTGATCCTACC